ATATAAATGAGTAAGTGAGACGATTATACACCGGTCGTGGAGTGAACCAATTACACGATGAATATATAGCCAATTACCGAGAGAATGCAAATGACAAGAGACAACCAATTTTTCTCCCGAGGTTCACGTGCTTGCCAACACGCTAGTCCCCGTTGTGTCGACCAACACTTGGTGGTTCGGCGGCTAAGAGGTGTTTCACAAACCTCGTCCACACGATAGGACACCGCAAGAACCGACCCACAAGTGAGGTAACTCAATGACACGAGCAATTTACTAGAGTTACCTTTCGGCACTCCGGCGGGAAGGTACAACTCCCTCACAATCACTTTGAAGGCGACCACGAACAATCACCAACTTGTGCCGATCCTTCACCGCTGCTCCAACTGTCTCAGGTGGTGGCAACCACCAAGAGAAACAAGCGAAATCCATGAACAAGAACACGAATACCAAGTGCCACTAGATGCAATCACTCAAGCAATGCACTTGGATTCTCTCCCAATCTCACAATGATGATGGATCAATGATGGAGATGAGTGGGAGGGCTTTGGCTAAGCTCACAAGGTTGCTATGTCAATGAAAATGTGCAAGAGAGTTTCCTTGAGCCGGCCATGGGGCTATAAATAGAGCCTCCATCAAATAGAGCCGTTGTACCCCTTCACTAGGCAAAACACGCTCTGACCGGACGCTCCGGTCATACCGACCGGACGCTGGCCCTCAGCGTCCGGTCGCCCGATGGACGCCACGCGTCACCAGCTTCAAAGGATGTTCGTCAGATTTCAACGGCTACGAAGCTGACCGGACGCTCCGGTCAAAAAACGACCGGACGTCAAGCCCCAGCGTCCGGTCGTTTCGAAGCTCCCGAGGCGTATTTCTTCGACCGGACGCGTCCGTCCACCTTGACCGGACGCAGACCAGCGTCCGGTGCTCAACCCTTCCTATCAGGTTGCTCGATACTCGACCGGGACGCAGACCTTTCGGCGTCCGGTCATTGAGTGACTCCAAATATCCGGTCAATGAACCGACGCCAAAGACATCATTTCGACCAACTCCATTTCAACTCTAACTTCTTCACCCTTGCTCAAATGTGCCAACCACCAAGAATTTTGCATCCGGTGCAATAGAAAATAGACATTTCATTTTTCCATAAGCGCCAAATCCCGCCTCGCAAGCTCGGCGGGAGGGAGAGAGGGACCCGAACCCATCTCAACCCTGCAAACACCTTGTGCACATGTGTTAGCATATTTTCACAAATATTTTCAAGGGTGTTAGCACTCCACTAGATCCTAAATGCATATGCAATGAGTTAGAGCATCTAGTGGCACTTTGATAACCGCATTTCGATACGAGTTACACTCCTCTTAATAGTACGGCTATCTATCCTAAATGTGATCACACTCACTAAGTGTCTTGATCACTAAAACAAAATGGCTCCTATATTTTATACCTTTGCCTTGAGCCTTTTGTTTTTCTCTTTCTTCTTTTCCAAGTTCAAGCATTTGATCATCACCATGCTATCACCATTGTCATGATCTTCGTCATTGCTTCATCACTTGGAGTAGTGCTACCTATCTCATAAACATCTTGATAAACTAGGTTAGCACTTAGGGTTTCATCAATTAACCAAAACCAAACTAGAGCTTTCACTAGGGTATGTAGGAATTTGACGCCAAGAATAAGATCAAAACCTCCTAGGCTGATGCCATAGCAGCTGATGGTGAACTCCTCTGTACCAATGGCCAGGGCCACATCCCGGGCTATGCCTTTGCAAGGCACACGATCGCCGTTGGCCACCAGTACCCGCATGGTAGGGTGCAGTGCTGTAGAGAGGTGTAGGTGTCGCAGGAGATCAACGTTGATGAAGTTGTGCGTCGAGCCAGAGTCGAGGAGCGCCACAAGCCGGTGGCCATGTACAGAGACTAGAAGGAGCATGGCATTCTCGGTCCGGATGTCGGCAATGGCGTAGAGGGACACCTGGGGCTAGGCTGTAGGTTCCTGCCCCGCCGCTGGTGCAGGCGCAAGGACAGCAACCTCCTCTGAAAAAGCAGCCACAGCGGCCACCTCCGCTGGTATGTCATCGTCGAGGAAATCCATAACTTCGAGGTAGAATAGGTGCTGGCACACATGACCACGCACATAGGGCTCATCACAATTGTAGCAAAGACCTTGGCGGCGGCACTCCAATTGCTCCGCTGGGGACAGTCGGCGGAAAGGACGAATAGGGGTTGCAGCGCCCGCTGGAGCTTGAGTTGTGGGCGCCCCCAGGGCTGCTGGTACCGCAGCAGCAGGCCATAGCGGTGCTGGGGTGCCCGAGCGCTGAGCAGGCCGGGCGCCACGCTGAGGAGTGGCCGACGTCGTGGCAGCGGTGCGGCGTTCAAAGGCCCTGGCCAAATACATGGCCGTTTGGAGGTTCTAGGGCTCCCGCAGCTCCACGTCGACCTTAATGTGCTCCGGAAGGCCGCCCACGAACAACTCCGCCTCTTAGGAAGCGGAGAGGTTCCAAGCATGATAGAGCACCGCATTGAGGCGTTCGGAGTAGTCCTGTACCGTGGAGGTGAAGGGCAGGCGAGCAAGTTCGGATAAACGTGTCCCACGAACAACCGGCCCAAATTGCAGATTGCACAGCTCCTTGAAATGTTCCCACGTAGGCATGCCCTCGTCTTGCTCGAGGGCGTAGTACCATGTTTGGGCCGCGTCGGTGAGATGGTACGACACGAGCCAAGTGCGGTCCGAGGCAAGGGTACGCTGCCTGCGGAAGAACTGGTCACAATGATTGAGCCAATTGAGTGGATCCTCGGCGCCATCATATGTGGGGAACTCCAACTTGTAGAAGCGCGGAGGGTGAGCGCCGTGGCTGACACCTGGAGCGGCTGCATCTGGAGCAAAGGCTACGGACGACGAGGTGCCGTGGTGGTGCTACATGTTGCCGCCGTAGAGTAGAGGGCCATCAACGCCTCCATAGAAAAACCCCTCGGTGTAGGAGGGTTGCTGTACCGCCCCATCGTAGTGGATCATGGCGCCTGTGGTAGGGGTTGGGGCAGCCAACGTCGTGGTCACCAGAAACGTTGCCATCGTATACACCGGCCCTACCGTCGGGGCCAGGGCATAAGATGGGATCAGCGACGAGGAGGGTGGCATCCGCAGTAGATGGATGGGCATGCCGGTTGCACTGGACTGGGGGCTCCCAGCAGGTAACATCGGTGGTAGGGAGGCCATGGCCGATTGCGGCGGCGGTGGCGGCGGTGGTGGGTGCGGTGGGGAGGGCAGCGACTGCTGCGAGGCGAGGTATGATTGCATCGCGGCCATGGAATGGGTCAGCTCGTGGATGGCCACGGTCATCTGCTCCATCGACATTGTAGAGGATGGAGCAGGCACCGAAGCGGATGGTAGTAGCTACGCAGCAGTGGTGATTGGCGGCGGCGGCAGTGGGCTGGTGGAGGTTGGAAGAGGGCCTGAAATATCTGATACCAGATTGATAAGACTTGATGCCCTACCGGAGTTGCTGCGAAGGTTGTAGGGATGGAAGAGCGGCGGGCGAGGCTTAGGGCAGCGGTGGCGGGTTGGTGCTGTGGTGATCACGGCGCAAGGAAGAAGAGAAGGTGCAGCTAGGACTCCCAAGGGAAGCCGGCAACAATTAGGTTGCTTCTACTTAATTCCAATCTCAATTATTTACAGAGTCTTTATCCTCTCTAGGATCATATAATTAAGGAACAAATACCATAAATAGTTAATAATAAGAATATGGGCTCTTAGCCCCTATAATCGGCGTCCTCCTCTAGCCACTAGTGGGCATGCGCCTATTATAGTAGACGCCGATCATAACAGTGCACATATAGATACTTGGTGTTCTAGACGCACTTTTGATGGTCAGTCTGATCTTATTGGTATTGTTTTGCATGCAAAGAGACTTGCATTATGCGGTTCTGACATAAAGGTATGGTTGACTCATTACAAGTTCCCCAGTTTCAGTGCTATGAATATTCTAAATGGAAACTGGTTGATCTTTTTTTTGGTATGCTACTCATGACAAGCAATTTTTCATTTTTTTTCTAGTCCATCTGGATATGTTATGTATTTATTGTGTTTATAAGCAGAATAAAAGTGATGTTGAACAACCTCCTTTGATTAGTTGAAGGTCCAACAATTGCACAAACACTGGCAATGTTGTTGCTTGCTAGAAATATGATTGGCCATCCTTATTGATGGTATAGTGGTACAAAATTTATGTACTGATTGACAATAAACTATGCAACTTACTAGAATAAAAAATCTTGACTGCAAAAATGTGCTTCAGAAATAAAAAAAAGATTCTTCTTAAGATCATAAGTTTTGGATTCTGTTGTATCTCTCAATCCAGATTCTCTGTGCTCCAATAAATATAATATAAATCTTTTCGGGAGTTCAGTAGTGATGCCTTCGTTCTTGTGCAGTTTGTATCTACAAATTGATTGTTAGATGTGGCACGAAAGCTTAGGGCCTATTGTGCTCCATGATATGTTGTGCAGTGGTGCCATTTGATGATTGGCGGCTATGCCTACGTTTCTAAACTTATTTGTTCATTACTATTATGTCTATCAATGTCCTGGCATATGTTTTATTCTAGTTATGACTGACTCGCCCTCTTGAAAATCTAGGCTATGTTGGAAAAGGAACTGCCTACATGCTCACTGTTCGACAATCTTGTAACTCTTGAAATTGGTGGATGGTGTTTGACCAATGACTTGTACGTTGTAGTTCGCTTCCTCTAGCTTTCACCAAGACTTGAAAAGCTTACCTTAAAGCAGAGAAAGGTATGCTTCATTCACAATTATTACTGCTTTTGCTAGAGAAGATCAAGAAAGTGTCTCTTTATTTCTCTTGTCGTTTACAGCTTTACAAGGCAACGAAAGAAGAAACAACAAGTTCAATGTCAATTGCTGGAATGACATTAGTGCCCACTCCTTGAAACACTCATAATACAATGTTCCAAGGATGATGTCGAAATCGGGAAGACGGTAGCTGCTATGGTAGCACTTGGCATCGGCTTGGAGAAAATACAAGTAATTTTTTATGAGGATATTGAAAGAGCAGAGAGGTGGGGTGTGAGTCTGGAAGAGTTGAAGAAACATGACGCCTTAGATAAGATGCTGAAAGAAAATCGAGAAAAGGTAAAGGGTAGTAATGCACGGAGTGATAACAATGATGATGGAGACGAGATGGAGGATGAAGACTACAACAGCGATGAAGAAGAGATGGATGACGAGGACAGTGAGATGGATAATGAAGATGACGACGACGATATGTAGGGTTAGTTAACAATGAACATGACGATGACGTCTTTAGAGCTCAGTGAGTTGCTCCATAGTTGTCCGCCCTTTTGCACAGCATGGACCTGATCCATTCTATAGTACTATGTTAGTCTTGGATTCTTCTTAGTCTTAGTAGTGAGACTTGATGTTGGTGAGGTCAAGTTTAAATTAAGTACTTAAGTTTATGATATGCTCCTGATTGCTAGACCTCAGAAAATCAAGGCTAGTAACTGCATGATTTTTGCACGGTTTCATGTCGAGCATGGACCCTTAGAGCAACTCCAACATACTTAAAAATCTAGAGCTGAAAATGCTTTGAAGCCTCTCTAGAAAACAACCCTCCCACGGCCTCCGTCCTTGGTAGTAGACCGACAATCGTCCCCATTGGCCGGTCATGTCGAGAAAGGGTCGCCTACGCTGCGCCCTTGAGGATGAGAGGAAGCACAAGGCCGGAATGAACCCCCCCCCCCAAAAACACTGGTTTTAGACATAAAATCCAATAATTACCTCCTAGAGCTGGTTTAAGAATCTTGAAGTTGCTCTAAGATCAGACTTAGTGGGAGTGTTAGTTTCATGGCCATAAATAGGATGTCACCTCAATAGAAACAACAATTTGGCACCATATTGATGAAGAGAAAGCGGATAAGAATTTCATGGGATGAAATGAACGAGCACTGTCATACGTCTCATGTGGCACCACATTAGTCAAGACCCTTGTGGGAGGTAAATCAAACTGCCTTGATAGTTCAGGGGTCAAATAGACCTTACCTAAAAAAGTTACAAAAATAAATCTTCAAAAAGTTTCTAACACACACGTGACAATTTTTGAAGATCTATTTCTATATATTATTAACTCATTAAACCATTTATTTATACTATTTGTTATCTATATTATAATGGTATATATTACTCCAATTATATTAAAGTTATATACACAAGAAAACAAATTTTCTCTCTTTATTAAACTTCTCGGTCACGGGCTTCCAACTAAACTCATCATCTCCCTACTTACCTGGCGAGGCATATTTCATAAAATCCTAGTCAACTCTCAAACAACATTTTTTACCAGACAAGTCATCAGGTCTCCAACTAAATAGGTTAGGGAATCTAGGATGTGCATGTGCTAGTGCTCGGTGGAGAATAAGCCGCCAATTCAGCATACCATAGCACGCGGCCCACACACACTCATTTCATTAAATCAACACATCACTGCTTTAGTGGTAGCTTCAGCCAGTGGCAAGGCGCTTCACGTGAGGTGGGGATGTGGTGTCAACTGACGGGTAGGTATGAAGCGGCAATACCATGCCATATTGGTAGATCCATCTTGTGTGCGGTCACCATGGATGAAAAGAGGGTTTCGCCTCTTGCTCGCTTGGACCATGGGCATTGCCTGCGGAGCTACGGTTCTTGCTCTTGCCCAAAACATGACTCCTAAGTTCAATTGTTGCGCCGTGCCATTGCTACCATCGCAGCTCCTCCTGTGCGCCTTCCTCTACGTTGTTTTGTTGCTCGCATCGGCGGCTCGACATGGAGACGAGACATTACAGTCGCATTGTCGTCATCGTGGGCCTCTACTAGGCATCGCACCTGTAAGGAAAATGGACCCTTGGCTCATTTAGTTTGGATTTTGGTGTTTGATGATCAACACAACCAAGTTAGACTAATGTGTTTGCAAGTCTATATTTTGTAGTCCAATAGGTTGCATAGTGGACTTAGACCGAGAGTGAAATATGAAGAATTGATCAACACTCTAAGGAAGATACTAAGAGGATGTGTGATCAATCTAGAAGTGAAGCTAGGAGTCCAAGACGCAAAGATTAAGAAGCCTAGACCAAGACACGAACAAAATTAAAGTCACCAAAACCGAGACAAAGATGTGAATGAATTGGAATTGTCTCGTGATTTTGGATCAGCTCAAATTGATATGACACCAGTTCAGAGTTGTAGAGCTCTTCATTAGCTTTCCAAAAAAGTCCAAGATCATCGAAATCAGACTTCAGAGCAAAGAGTTATAGCCATTTTAGCGAGTGGTGGTCAGGCATAGGACTGCCACTATAGTAGTCCGGAGCCTGGGTCCAGAGCACAGGACTCAGTCCGGAGGTTGAGTCCAGAGCTTCCAAAATAGGTATTCGGAAGGCAAAACACACCGAACCCGTGGTGCATGGTCCGGAGGTAGGCTCAGGACCGGGTCCGGAGCCAAAATACCTCTCGGTGTAGTTTTTGAACACCTTAGGACCGATGTGCGCATTGGTCCGGAGGTAGAGTCCGGAGCTTGGTACGGTGCATGGAAAAGAGCCATTGGAGCGCGACAACGGTCGGATTTGAACGTGTGGACAATAGGACCCGAGGTATATGTTCCGAAGCCCCCATAGTCCGGGTCCGGAGCTCGGTTCGGAGCTCACGTTTTCAGCCCAATAAAGGGGAAACGGCTAGTTCTCAACTTTGGAGCTATAAATAAGCCTCCAACTGGCCAAAACATGTGTGAAGAAGCTATGGGAAGATGCTAGAGTGTTGATACACCATTTTAGAGTTCTCCATTTGCATAGAGCTTAATAGCTCACAAGGTGATTAGCGTAGGTGCTTTGGGAAGTTCTTAGGTTAGTTAGACCATGCTCAAATGCGCTTGCTCTAGGTTTAGGCATAGTGTTTAGTGAGGTTTGCATACTTCTTACCACTCGGTGCTTGCGCGCACCATTGTTGTACTCGACGGGACTTGTAAGCCTTGCGAGACCACACCAACCGTGATTGTGGTGTGGCCGCCACCGTGTACGGAGGGAACAAGGCCTTCGGCGGTTCAACCGGAATCTTGATAGTGAAGACGGCGGGGAGCGTTCCGGGAGAGGCTTACCGAAAGGCACACCAGAGACCCACTTGCATGTGAGGAAGGCCCAGGGCTATCCATGGAGTTACCCGACCAGGAGCTTGGCCCTTGCGAGGGGCTCCAACGAGGACTAGGGGGAAGCTTGAGCGCTTCTCGATACCTCGGTAAAAATACTGGAGTCGTCGATGAAGTTTACATCCTAGAGATAGCAACACACTAGCAAAACCGTAGTTGCACATCTAGATAGTTATTTATTTGCATAGGTTTTGCTAATGTAAAAATTAGAGGTCATAGCTAGAAGTAGAATTTTAAGTTGCCTAACTCACTCCCCTCTCTTAGGCGTCACGGTCCTTACATCACCCTTCCGTGGCCCTCCACGGCAAGGTTGTCGGGCCCCGGCTAGCGGAGCCCCAGACTCCTCCCTCTGCTCCTGGTGGTGTTGCTCTTCTATGGTTTTTGGTGCTCTGTGCTTTGTTTGCTGTCTTTTTCTTCTTGTTCATAAAAGCGAAGATTGTTGTCTTGTGTGAAATCGTGGGTCGCGGCTTGCGAGGAAGAGAAGTCAAAACTAAGAAGAGGAGCGGAGCGGGAAATGATAATGCTAGGTTAGGAGCGGGATCAAGATTGTATTGGATAGTAACTATGTTTGCTTATAGATTGTTTGCTGTCTTTTTCTTCTTGTTCATAAAAGCGGAGATTGTTGTCTTGTGTGAAATCATGAGTCGCGGCTTGCGAGGAAGAGAAGTCAAAACCGAGAAGAGGAGCGGAGCGGGAAAGGATAATGCTTGGTTAGGAGCAGGATCAAGATTGTATTGGACAGTAACTATTCTTGCTTATAGATTGGAGCAACCAAAAAATATCGGTTCACCGTGTGAACCATGTCTGGCTAAAAAACCCGAACCAAACAGCACCTTAGAAGGACTTTCTCCCAAGCACATTTGGTTTGGTTGGAGGTACTTGAAATGAGAAAAATGGGAGTTTAGAGTTACGAGTTTAGAAATCTTGTGTTTGTTACATGGGAGTAGGATTTTTGGTGGGAATTCTTGTGTTTGTTTTATGGGAGTGGAATTTTTGTGGGAAGAAGATCAAGAGTTTAGCAAACTCTCGTTAATCACTTCTCTAGGGTAGGGGTGGTAATTGAGTAAGAATCATGATTTTAATGAAAGATGAGTGCATAATCACCGTTCATCATGACTTGTCATATAATTTTACGCTGAAAACCCCACAAATTAAGCATGAGATATAAATTCTCTCTTCAGCTTTCCTTATTTTTCCTCCATAGACCAAACAAAAATGATTATGACTAAAAATCTAATTTCATATTAATTCCCTCCATCTAACTTCCATACCTAGTCCTCGTGACCGTTCTTATATTGGTAATGCTGAGTCAGGGCGTCCGACCGTTCGGACGCCGTCCTCTCAGGCCTACGCGTTACTAGCCCAATAGACATGTCTGCTCTCAATGTCTCCCCCCATCCCTCTCTCAAAAATATCTCTCCACTTCACGCTCGCTCGTCGCGTGCTTTACCATGCCGTGCGGTCGTTCGCCCATGCCACTCTGCCTCGCTGTCATGCTAGGTTAGGAGGGGGATCAAGATTGTATTGGATAGTAACTATGTTTGCTTATAGATTGTTTGCTGTCTTTTTCTTCTTGTTCATAAAAGCGGAGATTGTTGTCTTGTGTGAAATCATGAGTCGCGGCTTGCGAGGAAGAGAAGTCAAAACCGAGAAGAGGAGCGGAGCAGGAAAGGATAATGCTTGGTTAGGAGTAGATCAAGATTGTATTGGACAGTAACTATTATTGCTTATAGATTGGGGCAACCAAAAGATATCGGTTCACCGTGTCAACCATGTCTGGCTAAAAAATCCGAACCAAACAGCACCTTAGAAGGACTTTCTCCCAAGCACGTTTGGTTTGGCTGGAGGTAATTGAAATGAGAAAAATGGGAGTTTAGAGTTATGCGTTTAGAAATCTTGTGTTTGTTACATGGGAGTAGGATTTTTGGTGGGAATTCTTGTGTTTGTTTTATGGGAGTGGAATTTTTGTGGGAAGAAGATCAAGAGTTTAGCAAACTCTCGTTAATCACTTCTCTAGGGTAGGGGTGGTAATTGAGTAAGAATCATGATTTTAATGAAAGATGAGTGCATAATCACCGTTCATCATGACTTGTCATATAATTTTACGCTGAAAACCCCACAAATTAAGCATGAGATATAAATTCTCTCTTCAGCTTTCCTTATTTTTCCTCCATAGACCAAACAAAAATGATTATGACTAAAAATCTAATTTCATATTAATTCCCTCCATCTAACTTCCAGTCCGCGTGACCATTCTCATATTGGTAATGCTGGGTCAGGGCGTCCGACCGTCCGAACACCGTCCTCTCGGGCTTGCGCGTTACCGGCCCAATAGACATGTCTGCTCTCTATGTCTCCCCCATCTCTCTCTCAAAAAAATATCTCCACTTCACGCTCGCTCGTCGCGTGCTTCATCGTGCCGTGCGGTCGTCTGCCCATGCCACTCTGCATCGCTGTCATGGCCATCCCCCGCGCGCGCTCCCATCTTATCCCTCGCTGTACGCCCACTGCGCCGCACTCCTTGCTCGGCCGTCGCGTCCATCCACCGCTACGCCCCACTCCACGCTCGCCTGTTGCAGCCACGGCGTGCACCCCACCACCACCACCTTAGCGCCACCAGGAGAAGGTCATCGTCGGCTGGGACATCGTCTCCCGCGGTCGGCTAAAGACACCACGACAGGAAGATGCGCATGTTGCAAGCATATGTGTCAAGTGTTTCAGATGTTTTAAATGTATGTTTCAATTATTTCAGATGGATGTTATAAAAGTTGACTGGGATGTTGCACATGTTGCAATGGCTATACACTTATGTTGCAAGAGTCGGTTCCAAATGTTTTATCTGTTTTTTCAGATGTATGTTGCAAGTGTGTTTATCTAGATGTTGCGTATGTTTGCAATGGTTTTCAAGTGTTTTTGCAAGTATTTCAGTTGTTTTGAACGTATGTTGCAAGTGTTGCATCTAGATGTTGCAAAACTAGATCGAGTGTTGCTCGTGTTGCAATGAAAACCACCTGGCGTAGGCGTCTGCTGCAACTGCTGGGGTGCCGTCGAGCGAGCGCAGACATCTGGCCAGGGGAAGCGGAGGAGCCACAAGCGGTCCCCGCATGAGGTCAGACGGCGTGGGTGACGTTCGAGCGGCGTGGGGTCCATGTAAGGGGGTGTTTGGATCCGGTGACTAAAATTTAGGAGGTGTCACGTAAATGTGTCGCATGGGGTGTTCAGATACTAATAAAAAAATAAATTACAGAATCCTTCAGTACTCCACGAGATGAAATTATTAAGCCCAACTAATCCATCATTAACATATATTTACTGTAGCACCGTATTATCAAATCATGAACTAATTATACTTCGTCTGGCCGGTGATCACTAGCATTCTCATTCTCACAGTAGTTTTAGGAATTTCATGACCCTTCTCATGCAGCTGCCAAGCGCACCGCCCGTCTCAGCTTGGAAGGAGAAGGCCCATTAAAGGCCCAGTTACAATATATATCCGCGAAGAAACCCTAAACCGCCACAAGCCTCTCCGCCGCCCTTCCCAGTGCCAGCCGCCGTGCGCTCGCTCGCCCCCTCTCCCTCTGTCTGCGACGACTGGGTGGGCTACCGACGCCGCCGCCCTACGCCAGGTGCCGAGGCCTTCGCTGATATCTTCGCCGGCGAAGAGCGCCCACCAGGTATCCCCACTCCTTCTCTTCCCTGTCTGCTGTGCGAAACCGAGTTCCCAATCTCTAACATCAACCTATCTGGCTATTTGACCCTTGTCCCTTTACTAGATCAATCCCTGCTGAAAACGCACTCGATGGCCTCCGCGACGGGGGGTTCCTCCTCGGAGATGGCGGTGGACCACCCGACGGGGCCGGGCGCCGCCGTGGAGAAGCCGCGGTTCGATGCTCTGATGCCGAGTGAGATGAGCGGCGGGAGGCCCCAGTTCCGAAAAGTGCCCGTGCCGCAGCACCGGTTCGCGCCGCTCAAGCGATGCTGGATGGAAATCTACACACCCGTATACGAGCACATGAAGATCGACATACGCATGAACCTCAAGGTAAGGGGATAGCCCAGTCTCAATTTATTGTCGTCAACGCTGCACGCTTTATTCTGTTTGAGCTTGGGTGTTCTCGCTTCTGAAGTGTGTAGCTGGTTTCAGACTCTGAAGTAATACATAGACATTTTATATATTTGAAGTATGAAGTAATATATAGACATTTTATATATTCCTATCCCATTCTCGTGGCTACATTTGAATCTCAAAAGCTTCCATGTATGCATACGATTGACAACACGGATTTGAGGCTGAATTTGTTTGATCTGTTGGATTAAGTTCTATGATGAATATTTTGTTGAAGCCAGCCAGTTAGGAATTCTACAAGCATTCTGATTATAGTATCTTAGCTGCTAAGCAAGTAAAATGCACAATCAAAACCACAATATTGTAGTTGCTAAGTTTAAGCTCATACTTGTGACCTCAGTAAAATAACTACTTGACGTGATGAATGCTCTCTACTTGCACTATTCCATTCTCGTGGCTACATTTGAATCTCAAAAGCTTCCATTTATGCATACGGATTTGAGGCAGAATTTGTTTGATCTGTTGGATTAAGTTCTATGATGAATATTTTGTTGATGCTAGCCAGTTAGGAATTCTACAAGCATTCTTCTGATTATAGTATCTTAGCTGCTAAGCAAGTAATGCACAATCAAAACCACAATATTGTAGTCGCTAAGTTTAAGGTCATACTTGTGGCCTCAGTAAAATAACTACTTGTTACTTGATGTGATGAATGCTCTCTACTTGCATATGTTGCGTGAGCCGTTGCAAGCTAAACCACAATATTGTAGTCGCTTCTATTTTGATAATTGCTTATGACTCAACTGGTTTGTCCATGTCCTTTTAGGCTGTTGGCTCTGAGCTTAAATGTCTGGCTGTCTGCTATTGTTTTCTACTTAAATACTCCCTCCGCCCCAAGGTAGATGACACTCTGTCCAGATTCATTGCTAAAGTGTCATAAATTTTGGGACAGAGGGAGTATGTTGTAAGCCTATTACTCAATTGTTGAATGCTCAAGGTGTAGGCTGCATCATATCTGTCAGGCCCATTAAACCGTTTCCTCTGTTCCAGGCAAGGAGGGTGGAGCTAAAGACAAGGCAAGACACACCAGATGTCAGCAACCTTCAGAAATGTGCGGACTTTGCGCATGCTTTTATGCTTGGGTTCGACATTGCTGATGCCGTTGCCTTGCTGCGTCTTGATGACCTGTATGTGGATTCCTTTGAGATCAAGGATGTGAAGACCCTGCGAGGGGAGCATCTGTCACGTGCTATCGGCCGCTTATCAGGGAAAGGAGGCAAGACCAAGTACGCCATTGAGAACTCTACCAGGACCCGCATCGTTATCGCTGATACAAAGATCCATATACTTGGATCCTTCGTTAACATCAAGGTCGCACGAGATTCGCTTTGCAGTCTCATCTTGGGTTCTCCTGCTGGCAAAGTGTATTCTAAGCTAAGGGCTGTATCAGCTAGGTTGGCGGAAAGGTATTAAATTAAATGGGTTTTGCTCGCACCATGTAACGGCTGCAATTTTGATCACACAATATGTTGTTATAGTAGCTGATTTGTGTGCTCGGGGGAGCGGGGGCAGTTTATTGTATCCCTATGAAGAGCGTACTATGATGCTGAGAGATTTTGATATTTGTGCCGTGTGTGCTCTTGTGCTTGTTGGTCTGCTTATTGCATAATGTTTCTACGTGTTCCATGGAGGAAACAGTGCATTTGTATTGCATTGTTGTGCAGACTGTGTATGTCAAGTTGTGCTGCTGCATGGTCAAATGCTGTAATGCTGCCTTTTGCGTTTCTTTCTCTATCCATTTCAAGTTGTAAGTTCGTTTGCCTTTGTTTCTTCCTATGCTTGCAGTATTCTGAATTAACTTCCCGCGGCAGCAAGAACAGCATTTTGATAGCAGGTAGACGAAGCAATAAGTTTTTTTTTTGATGAAAGAGAATTATATTAGATAATAGCTGGGTATATTAACACGTTATAAGCACTTTGAATTATATAAAAATTCAGAAACTGATTTTCATCTAAATTATACCCACACTGTGAATAGCTCAAAATCTCAAAACCAAACTTGTACGACGTTTTGCAGTTTGGATGACCACACATACAACCACTCGGCAAAAGGTCTAGAGAATAGATGCCCAACGAACGATGGCCAACATTAGACGAACGATAGCCAACATTAGATGCCCAACGAACGACGACCAACCTTCATGTAGGCGGAGTTGAGAAACTTACTCTTTCTGGTGTCTTCCTTCTTTCTGCCACCGAAGAATGAGGAAGACCGATCTGAAACTTAATCTCCCTAGTCCTTCATCGTGGCTAGATCTAACCACGATAAAACAGAGAAGAGACCGGAGAAAATTATTCCATGGCGGTGGCACCATCTCCGTCTTGATGTCGCCGTCCGAAAATAAAAGTATCCATATCATATTGGTGAGGATGCTGACATCGTAGTTGTCGCTCTCATCTTCAACAGAGCCACCATGGAGAAAACGATTCCATCCTGCCCTCTTACCGTCGCCGGAGAGGAGGAGATAAATCTCCAAAACCAAGAAACTTGCCATGGAGAGATCCTAACCCTAAGGACTCGATCTACTAGAAAAAACTTATTAAAAACGATAGATGCCCGCTCCCTCTTGCCTCCAGCAATATAACGGAGGGGGGACCAGCAGTGGTGGAGGCAGGGGACAGCGGCGGCGCTCCGAGTGTTAGACGCGAGACCTAAGCCGACCGACGAAGCAATAAGCTTTGATCGTGCCGGTAGACGCGTACTGAAATTGATTGAGCTTTGACGTCTGGAGTTCTGTCCGTAGCGCATGAACGTAGGATTCCAAAGGCTTTGCATGGAGTTGTGATGCAGCGGGCTTGGGTATTTGTTCGGTTAGTCTTCAATTCTGTTCTGTTAGTCTTAAATTCTTCTTCAATTTTCTCGGATTAGATATTAACCGAACAAACGCTAAAACAGAAGGTGCAATGAGCCGGCAGCTGGCGTACCATCTTGTTAACGAATGTCCATCTTGTTAATGAATCTTTGGTTGGAGGATGTTGTCCCAGTGGGATGTCCTTTTATATTGTGTTCAGCTAGGAGACAATTGAAGATGAGATTTGGAATATAGCCCTTTAGAGTGGGTTCAACTCATCTTTAGAAATTTCATGAACGGGGTCGTCCTAGGTGAGACCAGCGCTACACATGTGCGGTGGAGAAGAGGAGGCGTTGAAAGGATCAAGATGCCCAAGAGGGGGGGTGAATTGGGCTAATTCTAAATTTTCTTGTAATAATCTAATCCTACGGATAGCCCAATTAACCCCTTGTGCTTAGAAAAGTATTTCTATCAAATTAACGCACAAAAGACTTGCAACCTATGTTCCAAACTTACTCTAGCATGGCAATTCTATGAATGTAAAGACAAGTATTAAATTGCTCAAAGTAAATACTTAAAGTAAATGCTCAAGGTAAATGGAGAGAGGAACGCGGCGATGTTTTGCCGAGGTATCGGAGAGTCACCACTCCCCACTAGTCCTCGTTGGAGCACCCGCGCAAGGGTGTAGCTCCCCCTTGATCCGCGCAAGGATCAAGTGCTCTCTACGGGTTGATTCTTCGACACTCCGTCGCGGCGAATCACCCAAAGCCGCTCACAACTTGAGTTGGGTCACCCACAAGCTCCGCCGGGTGAACACCAAGCTCCTAATCACCACCAAGCCGTCTAGGTGATGACGATCACCAAGAGTAACAAGCACGAACTTTCACTTGACCATGCGAAGCCTAATGAGAAGATGGATGCACACTTGACTACTCTTGATTCACTAATGAGGTTTCACTCTTGGATTCTCAAATCACAAACACCTCACTAGGACCTTGCTCTTCTTGGCACTCACAAACGTGTTTCTCAGCTGTTTGAATGAGCAAAAGTCACTCCACATACGAGTGGAGCTTCTATTTATAAGACAACCTAAAAAATGAACCGTTATGAGCTTCTGCGGGGTGACCGGACGCTCCGGTCGTGTTGACCGGACGCTCCGGTCAGTTCAACCCGTGAACCAGTAAAAATGTATTGACCGGACGCTGGCAGGGTCCGGTCAGCACTGACCGGACGCGTCCGGTCGCATAAAACCCTTACTGGAACCTAACTGGACTCGACCGGACGCTGAACCCTCAGGGTCCGGTCAGTACCGACCGGACGCGTCTGGTCGCAGATTCCCTTCACTGGAACCTTTCTGGAGTCGACCGGACGCTGCCTTTCAGCGTCCGGTCACTTGACCTCTCCAGCGTCCGGTCACACCGAACGCAGACGTTGGTCAAATGAACTGACCGGACCCTGCGGCCAGCGTCCGGTGACACCGGGGCCAGCGTCCGGTCAGTGTTTGACCCTCCATTCACTTCCAACTTCCGAACATATGTGAATGAAGTTTGCTCCAAAGAATCTTAGGCATTCATAGGAGCTACCTAGAGCTAGTTTTGACAAGTGTGCACCACACCTAACTCACTAGACTCAACTAGGTCAAGCTACCGATCCATACCCCCCTTAATAGTACGGCCAAAGGAAAAACAAAGTCCTAAACTACTCTAAGTGTCTCTCCAACTCCAATCGACACTTAGAACTAGTCATCCTTAACCTTGTCGTCCATCCTTTAAAAACCGAAACGATTTTCATTGAGGGGGCATGACAACTTTGATTGCCTAATTGATCTTCGTTACCATGACCTAACTTAATTGCCTCTGCAAAACACACGTTAGTCATAGTAATTTTGTATTGTCATTAATCACCGAAACCCAACTAGGGGCCTAGATGCTTTCAATCTCCCCCTTTTTGGTGATTGATGACAATACCACCTCGAGTATGTGAAAGATTGAGGTTTTTGACGGGCTTGGTTCATATAAGCTTTGGTCGATAAGAACAAAAGTGTTAGTCAAGCTTACATGACCCAAGCCAACACAATGTACTCAAAGGATGTGAATTAAGCATGAGTACGATTAACAAAGCTTATTTGCATCGGAGTATAATCGCGGAAGCCAAGGCAAATGAACAATAACACAAGTGATATGACATATAAATAATGTAAAGTAGAGAGCACACATGTCATATATCACAATCACATAGATAACACTATCACATAGATAGAATAATATGCATGAAAGTAAGCACATGAATGCAAAAGTAATAGTGTATCACACAAATAAAACTCCAAATGTATATAATAAACTAATACTATAAAACTAGCTCCCCCTGAAAGTCGCTCCCCCTGAGTCTACATACTCGAACCCTCTCCCCCTTTGGCGTCAAACACCAAAACCTAGGGGTCGGACGGTGGGGCTGCAGCGGACGAGCCGGGCGCTGAGGTGCGAGGAGCAAGCTAGAACCGAGTGCCATCATCATCTGACCCTGAGCTCTGAACTGACTGACCCTCTGTGGCAGGAAGTGTCGCTGAAGCGGTCTGGGTCTGAGCTGGAATAGGTGCTGCCTGTGAAGCTGCTGGTACATCTGTAGGATCTGATGATGCGACTGAGCTAGGAAGCCTCTGAGTAGTCACTGCGACTGGAGCTGCTGTTGAAGGACCGGCAGCATGCATATGCGGTGGAGTGGGCATGCCAGTCAGCTCGCTGAAAGATGCTCCAAGACTCCTGGAGACTGATGTGTCAGGCACAAATAGCGAGGGCGACTCCTCCAGTGTGAAGCCCGTCTGAAGTGGAGTGAACTGCGGGGCTACCACGGGTGAGGCTAACCACTAGGACACCTATACAAGAGGTGAAGCAAACTGAGCTGGAGGCTGTCCCTGACTCTGGAGCCCACTGGGCTGTACTGCTGGAGTCATCGAAGTGGTAGCAGGCTGAGGAAGCTGGGGCGAAGGCTGTGGCTGTGGGGCCCCAAGAGCTGTCACAACATGCTGCATGAAGCCCATAAGCTGCTGCTGCAATAGGATCTGCTGCTGCTGCTGCTGGAGTACCTGCTGCTGCCTCTGAAACTCGTCCTGACGAGCCTGGAACTGTGCAAAGTTAGCAGCTATCTCCTGTGCCTGGCGAGCCTGGTCCTGCTGCATCCGCTCAAGTATGGCAATAAGAGCGGGGTCCGTCTGAGGCGCGGGTGGTGCTGAGCTAGAACTGCCAGGCTCTGCATCGTGTCTGCGTGGAGGCATCTGAGGAATAGGCTAGTAGTCGTCGTCAGAGCTGTCACTGTACTCGCTCACCTCCTACTGTGCCTCAAGCTGCTCCTCCTCAGTAGTGGCTATGCCTCTGATAATCTCGTCCTGCTGAGCTGCTGACTCTGGAACATCTGGATGGCGACTGGGCCGAGTAGGTGCCTGTGGTGTGCTGTGCCTGATCCTCTGTGCCATGTTGTAAGCTAGAAACTCTGTAGTGGCACCTTTGTACTCGGCAACCATCTCTGGGGTCCGGACCTACACAGACTTGAGTATCAAGAATGTGATCCAATGTGCATAAGGGAGCTGCCTGCGACCCTTGAAACCCTCAGCTATAGTATCCTCCA